TTTTTTTCTATTAGTAAACATTTAACCTACCTTGCAAATTTATTTATAAATAATTTCAAAAGATTTACTTTCGACAATATTAATTTCCTTCACTTAGTTATCATAGTAGTATCATGAAAACTATGAAGCTATTTGTAGTATAAATATTTCTTGTAATTAATCTCACTATCAATTTCACTGTTTTCTTTGCTGATTTGTTGTTGTATTGTTGACGTGAAGTGTTTACATAGTTATCGATCGAACTAATCATAATGGTAATATCGATATCAACTGCAATATCGGCAGTATGTCGGTATTGCAGATAAAGTTCGATAAACAAATTTGTAAATTAAAATCCATATTAATAAAAATGTAAAAAAAAAATAAAAATATGCAAGAAAATTTTAGCATATATTTTGAAAAGAGGGGAGGAGTGGGGGAAGGAGGGGAGGGCCTAAAAACGGCTATGCCTAGGGCCCACGAAAGGTATAATCCGGCTCTGTGCCTAGGGCCTACGAAAGGTATAATCCGGCTCTGTGCGTGACCCATGCCCTCTGATTCGATCTCCACATTACTGGCAGTTTGTTCTTAATTATGGAATTTTTTTTTAATGCTCTGGGATTCTCAGAGTGGTAAGCAAGAAGTGTTTTAAGCTTTATAATAATAATTATTGAATGACCTTTATATTAAAATTCATTGTTAATTCAAGTTTCATTTAGTAATTATCAATACTAAGCATGCTTTAAAAATTTCTCCTTTTGGTGATCTCATTCTGTATGCAAAATGATAACATACGTTTAATAGTACTTTTTTTTCAGGCCGAGAAGTGTTCGTTAGAATTCATTTTGTTCATTATCCGAATATGTGTTCGTTGTCCCCGAACATAAAAAATCTTTCTTGAAAGTGTTCGTTATCCGAATATGCGTTCGTTATCCGAACACAAAAATCTTTCGTGAAAGTGTTCGTTAACCGATTTGTCCATTAACCGATCTGTTCGTTAACCGATTACCCATTATAAAGTGTTTTCTGTGTTTCATAAAGTTGAAATCAGCATAGCGACAAAAAAAAATTAGTTAAGTTATTGTTTAATTTTTTGCTTCATCACCTATTTTAATTTAAAAAATAATAAATTTGAGTAATTGGCCAGGGTTGTAACGCAAAGCCAGGGAAACTCAGTTCGTATCTCTTCATTTAAGTATGTCCAACTGCAGATTTTTCAGAGAATCCAGATTATTGTTTTCACTCAATGCCAAAATCATTTACTATTAAAAAACTATTAACTTAGGCACAATCCCCAGTGCACAGCTTAATTAAATTATTCTCAATATTTAATAAAATAATATATTTGTCAATAAGTTGCTATAAAAAATACAATATCAGTATTGACATTTTGGAGCGTATAGGTACAAACTCTATGGTCTAGAACTTGCCTATTAAGTAATTCCTATTAGATATAATTTTTTTAAAAAACTGTGAGATGAATTTTGCAGTTAATTGTATTTTGTTGTTAGTATTAGAAATTTATCTCTAATTTATATTTACTTTACTTAACTAATACATAAATTTCTTTTAGATTTGGTCCTGGTTTAGTTATTTATTGGTTTGGATACATTGAAGAGTTAAACTGCAACAAAGAGCAAGGAATACTTATAAGTGATATTCTTCCCACAGCAATTACCTTCATGAATCCTAGTATTTTAAACAGACAGATTGAAGATTTAAGATTATTGTAGCAGGAATACAGAACTTTTATTTCCATGCAATTATTTATTTATTGTAATTACTTTTTTTAAAATAAAGAATAAATCTAATTTTATTTCACTTAATTGCTTCAGACATTTTGATTAAATTATTTTTAGACTAATAAGTAAAATTTTAGAGTAATAAAATTGTAATTATTATTAATTGTAAAATCACTATTTTAATAAACTTATATGAAATTTATTTTAAGGAACTCTACTTCATTAACTAATTCTAGCTTTTATGCCATATATTATACTTTTCTACAATTTTATAAAATTCATATTCTTTTTCTTCATGAGCCACTCATATTTTCCTCGTTGACAGTGTTAATAAGCGTTGCCTGTTTAGTAACTTAAAACTAGATGTAAAGAAACATTTGGTATTTTAAATTAATCTTTAGAACATAGCAAACATTTTTTAAAAAAACTATAAATTTTTAAACTATAAAGAATCTTTAATTTCAAATTTTGCTTGATTAAATAAATTCATATTCTTTCTTTTTCTTCATGACCTATACAAAATTCATATTCTATTTCTCTTCTTCAAAGACGATCAAACAACATCTACATTTTTCATCCTCTCTCTCATTCAATTTAATTCTCTATTTCTCCTTTTGATTGCATGTTTGCAGAGAAAATTTTTATATTGACTGTGATTTACAAGAAGTTAATGCTAATTTTTTGATGCAAAGAAACTTTTATTCAGATTTGCAAACATGGATTTATACTTCCACATGCATTCATGATTTTAATTTGAATTTTACTGCAAAAAAAAAAGCCTAAAAATAAATTTTTCTGCCATTGCCTGTATTTTATTAACTTAGAAATCCTTGAGTTACACAATATTTTATTTCTTGCTTATTACAATATTGCCAAGAACTGTCCAAATTAAAAATGTGCACAAAACAATAATAAAAAATTGTGATATATTATTCTTCTATTTCTTTATATGCATTACATTATATATTAAATAATTAAAATGATCTAGTGGTTGTATTTCTATAATTGGACAAAAAAAAAAGAAGTTTCTAAATTAAAATTTTCCTTGCTTCACTTATAAAAGGAATCAAAAAATGTATTTTTTCTCTTTAAAACGATGATATAAACTAGGGGTGCACAACCTGCGGCCCTTCGACTACTAAAGTGCGGCCCGCGAGAGCTTCTAAACACAATAAAAAAAATTTTAAAAATGGCAATTTTTAAGCGNTAATATTAGCACTACAAAATGTTTACTGATTACCTTTTTCTTTTTTTAATATAAAAATTAAAATAAATATTGTCGTTAATTATTTATTAAAATTTATTTTTTAAGAAGAAAAATGTTTTAAATTTATGGTAATACATAAATTTTACTGTTCATTTAATACCAACTATCTTTTAAAATTGTAAATATATATAATATTACAAAAAATTGATTGCATTTGTATAGATTGAAGCTAATGTAATGTATTTTTTAATTAGTTATATTTGAAATAAGACGCCCGGTGGCCGAGTAGTAGCGCTTCGCGCTCTCAAGCCACAGGTCCTGGGTTCGATCCTCGGGCCGGGCAAGCCTTTCGTCCCTTCAGTGGGTCGATAAATAAGTACCAAGCAAGCTTGGGAAGCGTTTCGCGTTCGAAGCGAAGGGGTTTTGCGTTCGGCTGACCACCTAACCGAAACATCTGTTCCGGCACCCCAGAGCACAAGGTCAAGAAAACTGAGATGGGCACAGTAGACCTTGGCTCTCTATGGCTTTCGTGCAACTGAGTTTAGTTTATATTTGAAATAAAATAGTGCAAATTTAAATAAATATTTTATCTATGTTTCTGACTTAAGCATATTTTATCATAAAATAGAAAAAATAAAATAGCAAATAAATATTATTTATTAAAGCACATTATTTCATAAACTTTTTTATAACACAATAACAGCTCTAACTGTTATCAATTATCCTTGTATAATATAAAATATTACAAATTTGTATATCCAGGTATTCACATTTACTGAATTGTACAGAAGAGAAAGCCCCTCTGTATATATATATTATGAATTTTGCATAATAAAAAATAAATTTTGTCTCAAATGCATCGTTGTAATAACATAAATTTGGAAGCAAAGTTGTTTTTTTTTTAAACTTCAAAAGGCAGAGATTTATTTTCGTGTGAAAAAATAAAAAATACTAACACACTTATAAAAATAGAAAAAAAATATTTTGAAGTACTACAAAAAGTTAATTTCAAATAAATATATACTTATAAAATTACGAGAGTAATTCTTTGTGATGAAATTAAAATTGCAGAGTGAAAAAAAATTTGAAACTAAACAATTTAAAAATTATTAAACTATATCTAAATGACACCAAGACATATTTCACAATAATAATGCATTGAAAATTTTAAATAATTGACAGTACAATGTGAATATTTTTTTTTATTTTTACATTTCGTAATTTTTTCTGATATTACTTTATGCTTCCAAAATTATTCTCCTTGCTAAATCTTATAAAAAGTTAAAAAATTGCTCACTAAAAAGAATACATTTCAATAGTATCATACAATATTCCAGGGATGTACTACTTATGACCTGTGACAATGGCCTAAGTATATTTGATTTAATTTATTTACATTAATTATATTTTTCTGCACGAGAATAAAAGAATAATTTAATAATTGGTCGGTAACAGTTGTTTTTCAAATTTAACTGAGTTAAAATCTTTTAGAGTTAAAAAAAGCAAACTTTTCTAATTGATTATAATTAAATTTGCTGTCATTAGTACATGGTCTGTAACTTATTACAAGCATTTTAAAATATTTGAGCTTAAACCCTGACCATGCTGTAGCCCGATCAACAGGCAAACAATAATAGTTATGCTCCAGCTAACAGCTTATGTAAACAAAATATAATAAATGAATAAAACTTTCTTAAATTTTTTTGTGCTTCGTTAACTGCACCAAGTCTCGGTTCTCTACTGAGCTAATACATTAAATATCTACAAAATCAGGTAGAAGGCTATGTGAAAGTGCTAAATCTTTGTTTTATGTAATAAAATCAAACGTATTAACTAAACCTACATTTAAATTAACAAATATACATAATAACAATCATTAACAAAAACTTCATTTGATAACATTTTTTGCTTGTACAAAAAATTATTTCATATTCTCATATAAAAAATCAATTATGCATCGATAAATTTCATTTTTTTCCCAATAGCACACATGATTTAAAGTATCTCCATTTTGTTCTCAGATAAAAAAGGAGCAGATGAAACATTTTAAAAAATTTTCCCAGTCAAGTTTCTCTACATCTTTTACATTATAGTCACTTTTATAAATATTAGTTTTGCGGCACTGATCAACTTTCCTGTACCGACAATCTTTTTTCCAAGATAAATAAACAGCCAGAAACTGACGACATTGAGAAAATTGGACGCAAGTTCTGAAACTTTATTCTATGGAATATTTTTTTGAACATTATTCTATGGAATTATTCTATAATTGGACGCAAGTTCTGAAACTTTATTCTATGGAATATTTTTTTAACTTTATTCTATGGAATTATTCTATAATTGGATGCAAGTTCTGAAACTTTATTCTATGGAATATTTATTTAAACTTTATTCTATGGAATTTATACTGAACAATCAGATAAACCTGTAATTTTTTATAGTGTCAACATAGAAAAAGTTCTCTTCAAATCATTATTATTCCACCTGAATGCAAATTAATTATTCAATATGCTTTCTTTAATTAATTTATTACAACCCAAAATGTATTATATCACTTTTTTTTAACCCCCGGTCACAAACTATCACAATTTTATGAATCCACAATCATGACATCATCTGCAGAGTTTCCAACAATATCATTATCGCTCAAAAAGCGTTCAATTTTACGCTTGTATTTATCATATAAAAAATCTATTTTTTTTCTATATGTTATATGTTCATCAGATTGCACACGTGTTTTAAGATATCTCCATTTTGTTCTCAGAAAAAAAGAAGAGGGTGAAACATTTTCAAAAGATTTCTGAATTTTTTCCCAGTCAAGCTTTACCTCATCTTTCACATAGTAGTTATTTTTAAGAATATATATTAGTTTTGCCGTACTGGACCTTCTCCATTTTTTTCTATTAACAATGTCTTTTTTCCAAGTTAAATAATTTGCCCAAAATTGACGACATTGAGAGAAGTTCCTGTTGGGCACAAGCTTTGCAACTTTATCCCATGGAATCTTTTTCACCTGACTGTAATCTGTATAATCAGTTGAACCTATAACTTTTTCTAGAGCACGCATTAGAGCATTTTCTTCCTCTTTCGACCATTTCCCGTTATTTATATCTTTTTTATTCCATCTGTGCACCTGTTTGCAATTTTCTCCATTTCTTTCTAATTTTTTACCAATTTTAGTCCATTTGTTACCTATTTTTCTTTGTTTTTTAATTATGTAATCAATTTCATCAGTCTTTGCAGGATCTTGTTTTCTAAAAGGATCGAAAAGATATCTAGCTTTAACGTAAATACTTCGAAGTGTTCTGTTATTTAAATTTTTGCCCAATTGTACATAAAAACGGGTATTTTTAACAAACTGTACAGATTGTCTTGATCTATATGTTTGTCCCAAGCCTAGAAGAAAAAAAGGATCACTTACACTATACTTCATACAAAAATCTAGGTAGTTTTCTTTCAAGGTTAATATCTCTTCACGTGACCACTTTCCTTTATTAATGTAAATATTTCTAGATTTCCATTCATCTAACATTTCTTTCGAAGGTAAAGAAACTGACTCTTTCTCGTGTAATGGAGGTATATCAAAGTTAAGCCATTCTTTCTCTGTACAAGAACCAACGAAGCGATCACGTCCTTGAAAATAAAAATAGTCATCAATATCTTCTTCTGAGTCAGAACCACTACCTCTAAGAATTGGGTCATAGATGGATTTGTTATTAGAAGAAGGCTTTTCTGAGGAACTTCCAGATTGATAGGGAGAAACTGTTCTTACTTCATCTTCATCTGAAATATTTAATTCTAATACTGAATTATCAGAACTGTTATCGATATTTCTGTGCTGTATTACGTCAACACAGTTGCTATTAGTATCATTATTGGTTGAAATATTCTCTCCAAAACTTTCAGAATTCTGCAAATGGTTATTAGAATGTTTATTTTTCTTTGATTTTGTTGACTCTAACTTAACTGGAACATCATTATCTAAAACGGTTTCATGTTCATTATTTAGTGCTTCTTCCACAGGTAGGCTTTCATAAATATGTAAGTCCTTAATAGAATGTTTCTTTTTCTTTGATTTCAATCCAAAAGAAACACTATCATTAAGAAACTTGTCTTTATTATTTTCAGTTACATTGTCATTTAATGCCTCCTCTACAGGTAAGCTTTCATAAATATGTAAGTCCTTATTAGAATGTTTCTTTTTCTTTGATTTCAATGCAAAAGAAACACTGTCATTAAGAGACTTTTCTTGATTATTTTCAGTTACATTGTCATTTATTGCCTTCTCTACAGATATTTTTGGCTCATTAGAAACATTGTTTTGTGCCTTTCTTACTGGTAAGGTTTCATTACTATACAATTCGCTATTTGGATGTTTCTTTTTCTTTGATTTTGTAGAATTCAAACTAAAAGAATCATTGTAATTTAAGCCCTTTTCACGAGCAATTTCAGTCCCATTATTATTTAATGCCTCTTCTGCAGATAGATTATTATTATTATTTTCAGTGTCGAAAGAGTTTTTTATAACATCAGGATGCTGTTTGCTTTTTTTTCTTGGTGTATGTACGTATAATTCTGCCAGTTTATTATTTTTTTCTTGAGTTAGATCGGCAATGTTGCAGTTGCTTAAAGCATTACCAACCATATTTTTTAACTTTGTGGCTTCACAGCTGTACGAATCTAGATTAAAAAGTTTCTTTTTTTTAGACTTTCGCGATTCATACATCGGATCATCGTAAAAGTTTTTAGGTACATTATATTGTTTTTTTCCTTCAGATATAATTGGAGTGATTTTACTTGACGTTAAACTTGCACTGTTGCCTTGATTAAGGTCTTTGTTAGGGACTTGGAAGTTTCGAGGACGAAATTTCGAAAAACTCTTTGAAGAGTTTATATTTCTCATGACAGTACTCAAAACACTAGCCACAGTGTCAGATTTACCATTGTATTTGTCAGAAGAAGATGAATTTGATTTACTTTTTTGTAACAAACCATCAGAAGTACTCATGTTGATTTTTAAAAAACTGTGTAAAGTTCGTAACGTGTGCTATATTTGTTTTGCTTAGATCCGTAAGCAGAAGAAGGGATTGTAGATTCTGGAAAAGTGAGACAAGCTCTATGAGTTAGCTTATAGCTCTGTATTTGCATTAGTGAGATTTATGGTTGAGGCTTAATAGATAGCGGAAAGTTGTTGTAAAAAGTCAGAAACGGCTGGGAAGAATTTGTAGAGGGATTGAAGTTTGGTCCGAGGATTGAAAGAGTTCACGATATCGGTAAATGCTGGATTAAGAAGAGATAATGATTGGCTAAGTTCTTTAAGAGCATTCTGGAATGAGGAGCATCCATATCAATATGGAAATGATCATTTGTGTCGACACTTCCGCAATACGGGCAGTTTGAGCTTGGTTCAATTTGCACTTATGTGAGATCGTATTAGTTGGAAGAGATTTAATTCTGAGCCTGGCTATTAGTACATCAAGATTTTGGGAGCTTATTAGTGGACGGTAATATTGAAATCCGTTAAGGTGAGGAAAGAAATCATTTTCTACCCTTACGTGGAAGGCTAGCCTTGAGGTTGAGGTGATAAAAGATGTGAAATGAAATTTTGGTTTAGCTCTTGTTTTGCGAGCTGGTTTGCTGACTTGATTTGGCTGATTGGTCAAAAAGAAGAAGAGAGATTCTTGTAGATTTTCATGTGCCTCTGGGGGCAGACTAGGATCGAAAGCTGTCCGTGAGACAGATAGTGGCTTTTGCTTGTAGCACAATGTTTGAGGGCTGATAAAATGGCCAATCCTTCGGCAGTAAAGACCGGTGTATGCGGATGAAGCTGGCCTGAGATCGTGTACCCATTGAAGGTATATATTTCAACTCCAATTTTGTCTGATTGTTTGGATCCATCGGTTGCCAGTGATACAGTTTGTAAGATTCTGATGTTGAAACTCTTCCAACAAGGCTCGAACCTGAAGTGGGGGTAAACGTTTTTTGTTTGAAATGACAAATTGTCTTGACATTTGAACGAATTTAAGTGTGGGTATGGTATTTAATAACGTTGTCAAGAGAAATGTTCTTGCTGGTTATCCATTTATGCATGGATCGTATAAGCGGAGCCTGAGAAAATTGGAATGGAGGAAGATGTAGGTGGTGGTAAGCTGGAGAAGACAGTGGCTCACCCAGGATAAGATTTTTAGGGTTAAACCCTACAGTATCCGGTAAGGAGGGGGGCTTCCTAGAAACCGCAAGGCAAGCAGCGTGTTTTTCTTTATTATTAATTCGATTATTTGAAATTCACCGATGCAAAAAAATCATGACCGTAAAACTAATTTGCGAATGAAAGTAATGTATTCTTTCTTATTGAGTAAATTATCTTCTAACACAACATATTAATGAAACAATTCGACAAAATTTTTCTTTTCTTTGAATCCCTTTCATTTCTCAGAAAGAGGATCCTCTTTGAGGAAGGGAAACAAACTATTTTTTAAATACCATTGTAGAGAAAGGGGGATGACTTCTTTTGTGTAATTAAACAGGCTCAAAATCAACCAATGCAAAAAAAAATAATAAATTAATTAATAAGGTTTGATCCTAATGATCGAATTTTTACGTACTAGGACTCAATCTTGATGGTTCAAGGAGTAAATATGTTAATTTTAAATATACAACTTTTAAAGTTCGATTTCTCTAGAATTATTCGACTAATTTCAGTCAAATTTTGAAATTTGCCATTTAAAATTGCATTTTTTTAAATGATGTAAGAAATTGTAAACTATAGTTTATTGTATAGTGTATTGTAACCTATAGCATAGATGCTATTAAAAAAGTTTCCGCCAACGCGCTATCTTTCAGTGTTTGACAAAATTGTGGATGAAGAGGGCAGCTCTACCAGTAATACCGGGTTTTAAAAGTTTGAGGTTTAAGGCTTCTTGGTTGACATTGTCGAATGCAGCGTCAAGTGAGCAGCAAATTACAAATTTATTTTCGTACTGAGTTCGAAGGATTTCGTGATGGAGGATGCAGCAATGATAGGGGTGGAAAACTCCAGTCCTTAGTGAAAAATTTGTGAGCCGTTTTTGGAGCATACGCTAGAGAGTTTTGCTCATAGTGCATGCTAGTGATATATGTCGATAAAGTTATACAAGATCCGATGCTTTACCTTTTTTATGGATTGAAATGACATGTGCTAGCTCCAGGACTCAGAAGGAAAATAGAAAGGAAATTCGATTTCTATTTTGCCACTTAATATTGTGATTCTGCCATATTTACATTAATTGTAATTATTTAATAAAAAGTTAAAATAAAAATTTTCTTCGTTGCCCTAAGCGTATTTTCTATTTTTGTACTGATAATAAAATAGCTACATAATTTGTTTATTATAAATAATGCTTTTGAAATATATTAATATTTTCATATACAAAAGCAAAGTGTAAAAAATCGAAGAATAATTGAAAAACTTAAAATTTAGAATAATGGTTTAACTAGTATTTTCGCCGCACTATCACATTAACAAAACTGCCAAAAAGTGATTTTTTTTTTAAATAACAGATGTTATTTAATTTGGACAGATTATTTTTTAAATTTTCCTCTCTATTAACAAAAAAATAAATACTCAAAGTTATCAAATCCTTCGCTAATTTCTTACTTCTAAGAGCTATTCAAACAAAAATTTCTTTCAATGCTAGTAAATCATCTTATACATAACTTATAGATACGTAATTTACTTTTAATAACTATTTATTAATTTTTTTTAAGTATCAATAGACAGCAACATATTAATTTTAAGTCATTATAAATAAATATACATGTTAGTTTCTTGTTAAAACCAAGTACATTAAAGTATCACATTAATACCACAATATTAACACTTCAGTTGAGTCCAAACTTCTTCAATTATTCATGATAAAAATTGCAAAAACAATTTATTTTTAGTATCTTGCACAATTTTTCACTCACTCTATCAATGAAATATGTTGCATAATTATTTATAAAAGATGAAAACTGGAGATTCATATAAATATAAAAAAAAATTATAACTTTTATTTAATTTTGTTCTTGTAAATGCTTATAAAAATCTCGAATTACTATTCTTTACTTTCTTCGGCAATCGAACATGTTTGCTGATATCAGTTAAACTTCTTCTAAAACTTCGTTAAATTTGATTTCATATAAATACCCCTAAAGTGTGCATTTTTTTACATCATAAGGACTATTCATACATTACGGGTTATAGTTATGGAACAGCCAGAATATTTAATTATGGAAAATTTTTTGAATTTATATCGTTAAAGAATATAATCTTTTTCATAATTTTACATTCCTCTTTACTAGTAAACATACGAGGAATGATTTAAATTAAATTTCTCTTTCACCCCCTCTCCATTAACAACACAGATACATGCGTTCCAGAGATAAAAATTTTAGCATTACAATTTTAAGGGAAAATTTCTTTTTAATTTTCCTTTTTTTTGAACTCACACCAAAACTAGCCAACGAACCCAACACTCTTAATTGAAGGAATTTGTCTTGTTAACCAGCAACCTTGTACCAGCCCTATTAATCAGCCAGCTGCTTACCAGTCCAGGGACCAGGAGTTGCAGAGCCAGGGGGACAGAGGAGACTTTAGACCCCTCTGCCTCACGTTTGATAAGTAAAGGGACACAGCCTTTTCTATGATTACAATTTTTCACTCAATATTTGTGTAATTAAATTTACAATTAAAAAAAAAAGATAATTTTTTGTCTGAATTCTAAAAACCTGTTTCTATTTTAAGATTTCCTTGTGGTGAAAACTGATACCAAATCATCTTTTTCTTATCCCCTCACAGACGAAAGATACAGCCCTATCGCTGACCGATGAGGAAAATTCTTGGCTTCAAATATCACAGTGAACAAAATTAAAAAAAAATAAAGCAGTGAAACAGAATAAAAAAAAATCTTGTTAAATGACAGATAAACAATTTCTTTTATTTATTTACTTTAAAAAAAACAAGTTGAATCATAGTTAAAATTGCAAGAATTCTTGATTGTCCTTTTGTGAAGTTCAGATAATTCTGACCCGGTTAATACTAATATATAACAGGAAAGAAAGAGAGGCTCCCCACTCGAGATACTTCTGCAGTCACTCTCTGGGGTGATTTTGAAAGCAGGACAGGATTTTTGAGATATTATGCATATTAATTTAAATGTTTATTCTAGCTCATAGATATTGCTACAGAAAATAGCTTATTAACAGACTAAAAAATTATGCTTTTAATAAGTCTTGTTACGCGAATGTAATGATAAATTGATGCCTATACCTAAACTGATGCCTTATTACACTCATTGAAAGAGAAAAAAATTAAATGCTATACGGCCTAACATGGAACTAAATTATTTATATTAAAGTTTAAAATGAATGTTCCCAAGAATGTAATTTTAGTTTGAATTAATTTCAAAGCTACCTATTTTAAGTGGAACTTGTTCATTATTTTAATACATTAGAGATTAACAGGTACGTACCACTAGCCAAACAGTGCAATATTTGCATGTGAAAACACTGATAAAATTTATTGATATTAATTAATGACATAAACATATAGTACCACCTTAGCCATAATATACCGTTGTTTAAAATTGACTTCATCAGAATTGCGGGAGGGATATATTATTTACTTTGTAACTTCTTAATACTATAAATATGTGAAAGTTTCAGTCATTAAGTTTGCAAGTGCAGAAGTTGAGACGAAATTTAAAAACAAATATTTATTATTGATAGATATATATATTTTACAAAAAAGTAATTATATCAAAGTACTAGAAAGGGATGGAATGCATAAATAGTTTGTAATTAATAAAAATGAATAATAGACAGCAAAACTGTTCTCATAGAAATATATAGCACAGATAATAAGAAATCAATATTATGTATAAGAGATTTCACATTACATGCATATAAAAAATTAACCTACTGTCTTTTAAGTATAAAATAATTTAAAGCTGAACTTACTGATACAGCTTTAAATTCACAAGCATTTCTTTTATCACCTTTGCCTTTCAACGTTTCTAAACGCTTAACAATTCCTTCATGTATACCTTTTGATATTAGAATAAATTTTTAAAAATACAAAAGTTTTAAAACACTTCATAGAATCAATTATTCAAATGATGTCTATATTTACTTCNTTTTCAAGCACTTTCAAGGACCTAAATTTAGCACAAAAAAAATCAAGGACTTTCAAGGACTCTCAAGGACCGTGGGAACCCTGTAAACGCTTAACAATTCCTTCATGCATACCTTTTGATATTAGAATAAATTTTTAAAAATACAAAAGTTTTAAAACACTTCATAGAATCAATTATTCAAATGATGTCTATATTTACTTCTCTGTGACATGTTTAATAATATACATCTCAAATAACATGCTTACCAAAACTATTGAGTTGGAAAAGATAAATTTATGCAGATAAATTTAATTGATAAGTAAACATGTTCTTCAATGTTTTAAATTTCATTTTCTTAAACAAAACAATATTATCTCGATCATTATTCTCTCAACTATAAATTCTTTACATAAAAGCTAACACATACATAAACTATACTCACATATCAACAAACTACCAATAACCAGTTTCCAATAATTATTTCACCAACAATTATTCACCATTATTTCTTCAAATAGTAAATCGGAGCAGACACACGGAAACCAGGTGGCGTTTCGTAATCATTATTTTTTAAATTAGTTTCAAGTACAATTTCACAATAAAGGTAAATTTCGTCAAAAATATTAGTTTAAATTGCAGTAGTAAAAATAAATTAACACTATACTACAATACCATGCAATTTTAAACATTTTTTACACATATAGGCACAGTTTAAATATGTATATTGCACTCACTAGTTTCATCATTTGATTTAAAAATAAATTTATTAAAAAGCTGAAAATAGTTCTATATCTTTTAAGATACGTAAATATAATAATACAACTCATGTATAAAAATGAAATTTAATAACCTATATAAACACAATAAAAAAATTGATTGTTGCCTAATATTTTGAATAACCTTTCAATTAACTCATATTTGTTATTCAATCAACTCATTATAATATTTAATGTGCTTTATGACAGATAATTATAGTGTTCTCATGAAATTAAAAAAGGTTATAATAAACAAAACATTTATTAAAATGCATAACCAAATAAGCAATTTCAAACAATCAAATCTAGACTTGTGACAAAGGGCCATAGATTATTTTCCTAGCTAAAAATTCACTAGTTTATGATAAAAAAATAAAAAAAAGGTTGAACACATAACTTAAAATATATACATAATACAACAATATATACATAATAAAAATATGTTTTGAATAAAAATAGACAATTTTTGCCAACAAAATATCAAAATATGTTTTAAAACTTTTTATAGTTTTGACACAACAAATAAAATGCAATAATAGAAAGCTTAATTTTGAATTTTCAAGCAGCAATAATAAATTATTTAATCAAAACATATTGTAACAATATATACAAAGGAAAAAAAAAATACAAAAATGCAATTCAAATGCAATAAACATGTGTGACAAAAGCATCAAATATGGAAAAAGTATTCTCCACATTCCTGTTTGACTTAATATTTTAAACAACCAAGTGAAGTAGGAAATAGAAAATTTTGGCATCCAACTTTTTAGAGAGCCTAACTCACGCTTACCCTTTACAATATTATTCATCGTATCCTCTGAAAGAATGATTACTGCTAATTTCAATTTATATATTTCTATTTTTTCAAATTACAAATAAAATTTAAGTTCTTGAACTTAAAGTAAAATTGCTTTTTATAACATTATTATTTTGGAGATTTTGTTATCATTGCCATTACATTCATTGGAGTATTATTTTTTTGTTGAATAATCATAAATATTTGTCCAAATAATTTTCATGAAATCAAAAACCTTTTTTCTTCCAACTTTAAACTAGTTAGAGTCAGAGTCAACTTGACTTAAGATTCCTACGAAAAATTTTTAAATTTTGTTTTTAAGACACTGACTAATAATCAAGTCAAAAGGTAGAAATGCATAGAAATTTAATTTAAAAAACTTTCACTGCATTGAATGCAATATAGGTAGCAGTTTATCTAGGGAAAAAAAATCTGGTAAGTTTAAAGTAACCAGTCAAAGAATTAAAAAAAAGAAAGAAAAAAGAATTGTAATTAATTGTAAAGAATTTCAATTAGCTCAAAGTCGCCATGCCTGGAGGCAGCTAATTGAGAAAGCCTTGGCCTGCACTAGGCTGTAGTGCTGACGAAGAAGAAATTAAAACCAAATTTTAATAAGCAATTTTTTTTTATGTCTATAAAGACAATGATTAACATTTCAGGTTCCATTTTTTTTCTGAGAAAAATGAATAATGGTTTTAATTTAAATAAAGTACCAATAAGTAAGTTCTGCTGCACAAAGTTTCCTGATGCAGCTCCTAAATTTGTCTGAATTGAAATATTCAAGCCATAATCAATTTCTACCCAAAAATATTCCTACATATCTAATAAAAATGTTAGAATGTTCAACTCTCAATTCACATTTCCATTCAACTCTGAGAAAAAAAAAAGATAGAGGTACTTTGTCAAAAATTATGGAAGAATCCTAAGCATTTACAAGTTGATTGCACGAAAAAGTTTTTAATAAAGAAACAATGACATTAGTCGATAAGACATAAATCAGGGTTCCCACTCTATGATGAGATTGAAATTCAAGGACTTTCCAAGGACCTCAACAAAATTTTCCAAGGACCTTAATCTAAGACCAATTTTAAAAATTATTCTCTTCTATCTTACTAGAAGCAACAATGCTTGCTGTGGCAATAATTAATTTCAAATATAATACCTAAATGCTTTGCCTATATAGAGAGAAGAGNTGATTGCACGAAAAAGTTTTTAATAACAAAACAATGACATTAGTTGATAAGACATAAATGCAAGTGAACTTGTTTATGAAAATTAGGAGCAATTATGCATAAAAAAATGACATAAACACAGTATTTTTAACCCTATTTTAAATAGTTGCATTGAAAAATTTGCTTAAAGTAAACTAATACTTTCATGTCAAACATTTTTAGAGAAGTTAATTTCAGAGATTTAAAAAACAATGAAATTATAAATTGCGAAATATGAAATTCATTGGTAACTTATTTTCAACAAATGTGAATGAAAAAGAATAAAATGATTATAATTATGGCACAATAAAATAACTGACTTAACACATGTTTTCATTACTAAATATTTTTTTATGATTGTTTTATTGCTACTATTGCAAATTTAAAGCAATAAAAAATTCTAAGCATTTTGTTCGGTAAAATTTATGCAGCATTAAAACAATTTGTTATTAATTTGCTTCTGTAGTTTTATGAAATGGAATATATAAAATTGAAATAATATTTTAAAACAAAATGGTAAGTATGATAAAAAAATAATTATAAATTAAATCTTTTAAAAAATTTCTTCATTAGCTAATTTTTGTTTTGTGTACAAAAATCAAAACATAAGAACAATTAATGCAACTTTTTTTTAAAAGAAAATTTAAATTAACATTTTTGTATTTTTTAAACTTTACAATTTAAAACTTTTGGTCTTCAACAATATAAAAACTGGAGAAAAAAATGAAGTAAATCATTTATAATTCGAAGCATAAAACTAGAGAAAAAAAAGCAAAACATTTGGTTGTGTCTAAAATAAACAAAGGCGGAATTAAGTAAAACAATTCTAACCTAAAAACCAATGCAACAAAAATAAAAAAAATATTTTTATTTTTGTTGATTGAGTTCTTCTGACGGGTCTTGGAAAGTAGGTTCTGGGATACTCGGTGCACTATCAAATAAACTGGCAGAAAGATTTTGAGTCAAATTAAGGTTTATATCAATATCTAAGTCGAGACTGTCAAATTTCTCTATGATGGCATCATCCACTGCAGCCTCCTGGTTGGATGATTCTGAGACAGGCATCATTTGGTGCATCACAGGAGATGACATAGGTTCTAATGGGGGTGTGGCTGATGAATGGCTGTGAGCACTGGGTGAAGTGGCGAAATTGGGTGAATGTGCAGGAATGAGATGTGGTGAGGTTGATGGAACTCCAACAGGAACTGACGATAATACTGATACTGCCGAAAAGTCAGATACAAATGGTGCTGATGCTCTGGCAAAAAGGTCATCTCCACAAGATACCCCACTCACTAAAAAAAAGTGCTTAGTCTTAGTAAAATAAATTAAAAATATATTTAAAATTATTTTAATTTGGTAAAATTTTCTTGGTTGATAACACATTTATTAATATATTATACATTTTTATTTAAATGAAATTGTTTCACTTATTTAAAAACTATACTTTATAACTGAAATAAATTTTTTTTAGTTTGAATGTAGTAAGAAAGTACACCTTCTGCCCCAAATTAATTGCTACATTTAGGTCAAAAAATTTTGCCCCAAATTAGTTGCTACATTTCAAGTAGGCGGAGACATAAATAATAATTTATTAGATCAACACTAGTAAAATTATATTACTAATGAATTTATGATTCATTAACTAGAAGATAGTCTTATGCAATCACTGGCGAAAGATACCAGACAGCGTGGAACATGGATTATGAGCGTGCAAAGACTGGATTCTTGTAACTATTTTGGTACTGATTTAAGGAATGAAGAGAGGAATGCTCGGTAAATAAATGTAGTTAATTGATAGCATATCACCCTCAAATTTCTGAAAAATGCTCAAACAAAATCATGAAATCATCAGTATCAATAATCAATTCATAAGTATTCAAATGTAGCAATGAATTTTGGATAGAGGTAGTAATGAGACAGAGGGAAACTTTTTAATGAGTTTGACAGCACAGGTCTAGCTTCAGTTGAGCAGAATGTTAAGCACAATAAATTTGTGCCAAAATCAACATGTAAGGAACATAAATATTATTGAGTAAAACCATTAGAAATTTTTATGCTAGTTAGCTTGCCAAACATAAAAGGAAAAATTAAAATTTTTTTAAAATTTTATTATCTAAGACAAATTTATGTGTAATAAGTATCAATTTTCTAAGTCTCATTATGAATGAATATTCATGAAAATGTTTCTTACCCATAACAGTTTCTGGTTTAACTCTTTGTCTAGTTGCTAATTGCCTAGAGACCCGTGGAATACCAATAGGCATTTGTTGCTCTGGAATAATTATAGTTTATGTCTATTAAAAATGAAAAAATGTAACCATGAAAATCACTAACCATTTAAGTTTTATTTTACCTGGGAAATTAGATCCACGACCATGAACATTTCCTTGAAAATAACATTCAAGATCAATGCGGTCTTCTACTTTAAGCTTCTTTCTTGCAAGACCTTCAGGATCTTAAAAATAAAATTATTCAGTGATAAGTATTTTAAAATTTTAAAAGAATGCTTGCAAAGATAAACCATGATATTTGCATTTTGAGCAAAGTTAAATGTTAACCATTAAGCTTTATTATCCATAATTTTTTAAACACACACACATTGCTAGAGTGATATAACTAGAACTGATTAGGCATACGATTATACAACTATGTATGTATGTATGAATAACAAAATGTAAATAAAAAAAGTCTGCCTTTGGAAGATGGCTATCAAAGAGAGCCTCTGAATTTGGTTACGTCGTTGAAATATTTTTTTTTAAATTATAAATATAGAAATTCATTTGGATTAGGTAATACATTTTTAATATGCTTTGATTATTTTCGTGCAAATATATATTAACTTTCAAAATTGAAAAGTTTGTTATTCAAAGTAATTTGCTATTTGCACAGATTTTTCCTGTCAAGCATGCACGTTATTTCCATTAAAAGACTGGTTTTCTCTGCAGCAAAGCAAACAGCTTGTATCCCAAACTGAGTTCACAGGGTTAAGGGTTTAAAAAAAAAAAAGTACATTTGAAGATATTTAAAGTTAAACATTGATATAACGGCTATAAAATGCAAAACTTGTTTGCAGTTTTTTTTTGTGTATGTATGTGAAAATTAATGTATATGTATAAAGGTTTTCAATTTTTTCACAGCTACACAAATTTTTCAAAAGTTGGGCTTTTTCTTATGTAAAAAGCAAGTTTTACAAATTTCAATTTACTTCTTTTCTTAAATAATAATAAAAAAAATGTTAATGTAAAGAGAAAAAAAAAAAAACCCCTNGAAGATGCAGAGTATAACAGTTTTGGTTACACCTATAATTTCAATTAATGTTGTTATGATGCTTTTTTAAATTTACTATTGTGTTTTTGTCGGAGAAAATAGTAACTTCGTAAAGTCATGAACAATTCTTATTTCTTGGAATTAGTCATGGAAAGTCATGAATTTGAAAATCTAAAATGTAGCAGATACTCTGGATATAACTAGAACTGATTAGGCATACGATTATACAGCAATGTATGTATGTAACAAAATGTAAATAAAAAACTCTGCCTTTGGAAGATGGCTATCAAAGAGAGCCTCTGAATTTGGTTACGTCATTGAAATATTTTTAATATTTCAATATTTTTTTTAAAATTATAAATATAGAAATTCATTTGGATTAGGTAATACATTTTTAATATGCTTTAATTATTTTCGTGCAAATATATATTAACTTTCAAAATTGAAAAGCTTGTTATTTAAATATTTAATTTGCTATTTGAACAGATTTTTTTAAAGATTTCCCTGTCAAGCATGCACATTATTTCCATTAAAAAACTGGTTTTCTCTGCAGCAAAGCAAACAGCTTGTATCCCAAACTGAGTTCCCAGGGTTAAGGGTTAAAAAAAATACACTAACTACTACTAAAAAATTTTGCTGAGTGAGTCCAAAAAATAAATAAATAATACATATTATATACATATTAAGTATATATAATAATATATATTTGGTGTTCATTATGTATATTAATTGCATGTGTTTTGAATTGATATTGAACTGTTGTAAAAATATTATTTAGTGTAACAATTATTGAATTAACATTTCAATGGGTGGCGGTATGTTAAAACGCCACCTATATGAGCTTTGGAAATATGTTCCTTGAAGAGCTCTGAGAGATCATCGTTGTGTGCGTGTCGGTGAACACCATGAGAAGTGATAATAAATGAGTGTTTTATTTAAACAGTTAAACATTGATATAACAGCGATAAAATGCAAAACTTGTTTGAATTAAGAGTTTTTTTTTTGCGTATGTATGTGAAAATTATAAACATTTAGCTTTTCAATTTTTTCACAGTTTTACAAATTTCGATTTACTTTTTTTCTTAAATAAAAAAAATAATAAAAAAATGTTAATGTAACAAGAAAAAAAAATACCTCTTTCCATTGGCAAATATTGGAATGGTCTTGGATCTCCTCTTTTGTTTTCACTAGGTTTCCGAAGTTCGATATAAACAGGTACTGGTTGTTGAATATTTTCATTCTGATAACGGGGTGTTCTAAATGAGATGGCCACTTGCTTATGAACATCACTAGGTTGGAATTCAGCTGGACTTTCCCACACTATCCTGGAATTTTGTTCTTCATAAAACCAAATTTGTATATCCTCTAAAAAACAACAAGTTTTATAATTTAAAATCACATGTTAGTTTAGAAAATACATAAATTCTTTCTCGCTTATAGTCAACCCTAAATTTTATGAATTTCTATATCTATTTACTTAAGCATGATCTTGCAGGAACCCTCATTCAAATTTTTAACTCCTTAACTTAATAATTTGCTTCTTCCACATCATACATGTATGCTTAAAAAATTATTTTAAAAATTCTGAAAAGGAGAAAAATAACAACTTTTAAGCCAACAATTTCATATATGTAAAGTTTTTTGCAATTATTATTTAGTAAATTCAAAGCGAAAGCACCATACAAAAAGGGATTATTTTTGTAACCAAAATGTTTGTAAGTGCAATAAAATAAGCATTAAAATGATGGAAAAAATTTATTTAAATTTTTTAATTGAATACGTTTTTGTGTTTTTATATTTTAAGAAACTATTTATAATTAAGCATTTTGCATGCATTACTAATAAAATAAGATTTTTACTTTTATTAGTTTAATATTGAAATTATGTAAGAAATAAAAATTTGTTCTGGTAATTAATCTCATTTTTAAAAAATATACATTGGAGTAATTGCTAAATAAAATATTAATGTCAGGTTAAGAAAGTAATAACATTCGTTTGTACCATTTTCATCGGTGGTACAATAGAAATAAATCTATAAAAGCACTATGATATAAGAAATAATAAACAAAAACAATGACTGCTCTCCTTCATAAGTTGACCACCTATCTAAGTCGACCATTGAAGCAGTGTATCACAAGTGGTCTACTTACACAGGTTTCACTGTAACAGGAAACAAAAAACAATTGAAAAGAGGAATGCTGAGCTTGCATTGAAATATAAATTTTAATAAACAATTTCTACATAGAATGAGTTATCTATACAAGAAAACGTGATTAATGATTCAGTAGAAATAAAGGAATTACCTTTAGCAACTCTATCACACAGAAGTATAACTTCTGTACCTCCAGTTACCGGGGCTGAATAATGACTCAGTTTCATTATGGTTAAATCAGACATGGCTTCTATAAAACAAATTTAAAATAAGTATTTAAAACAGAGTTCTTACAATAAAAATTTCAAAATGTGTAAATTATCATACTTTTGTCAAAGATTGGATCTGAAACAGCTGATGGAATTGGTATTGAATACCTGTTCTCAGAGTCTTTTAGAAAGACCTGGAAACATAATCTTAGTACATTCAGATCAATGCTATTTGGGTGATTGAATCCAGCTAAAAAAAATTCATAATGTTATGCACAATAGTGAACAACTAATCTTATTTCGTAGCAAGGAATTAAAAACAATTAAAGTTTTAAAAATATGACACTTATCAGTTACTTTGATGAATAATCTTTGGTACATAATTAATTTTTAGTTTTTCCTATGGGTAATACAGTATTTTTGGGATTATACATCAAACTAAATAACATACTGATGAATAAAATTGCCAAAAATTTAAAAGACAGAAATGTTATATGGTTATATGTTACTGGCAATGTATGGAATGGCAGCCTACTGTAGAACTCTTAGCAATTTTATTAAATGCTTATCATTTTAGCATAAAATCTGAAAATCAATATCCTATACTTTATCTAAGCATTGTGTATAATATCTAGGCATTTTATAGATTAACAAATGCTTTTTAATAAGAGGTTATGATTAAGCTGTGATTTAAAAGGTCCACATTCTTTAAAAACAAAAATGTAATAATCATGAAGAATAATGAAAGACTATTGTTAAAAAGTTTTATGATAAATGACATTGGCAATGTATAAAAATGCCAGCATTCTATAGATATTACATACTTTGTCAGCCTATTTTTTTTTCTTTTTTTGGTTTTTTAATAGACTGCCAAATTTGATAACAAACAGTACTGAGATCATTCAACAATTAAATACACTTAAAACTGTTGTATATTCCATAAAAATTACGATAATAAATTGCACTTTAAAATTTTATTCACCTTTATTAAAATAATTTGTACTTGCAGTAAATATATTGTATGAAAAAAAAAAACATTTTCTGGTAAATAAATTTATTTAATGTGAAAATAAATATTTTCACAACAAAAGATATTTGATGCAGACAGAAAGTTAGTTTTCCTTGTGTTACAGATTTTCCAGACCAAAGAATATTTCTTAATTGGATAATATCAAAACCATTGTCAACTGTAGTTTTTATTAACGTTTAAGAGTTAAAATATACGGTCATTAAAGTTAGCACGCAAAAATATTTTATTTTTATAAGAACATCATTTTTCTTACATAGAGTTTCACTAGAAAATTTAATGTTTGAAAATCACTTTCTGGTTTTGAAAGGTCATAATATAACTTTCAGAAACTTAGACACAAATTTTGCAGGTACAATAATTTACAAAGGTTCTTACTAAATAAAAACAATTTTAAAAATACTGAGTTTCATTATAACTCAGTTACTTGGTGAGAAATAAAACTTAAATTCATGCACTGTGAAATATATTATTATTAACTAATAAAGATGAATAATAATTAACAAAAAAGGCAATAATTTTTTTTAGTTATTTAGAATAATAACTACATAACTATACAAAACATATAAAAGAGATATACACATTTATGCATAGATATATTTTAAATAGTCAAATAAAATATAACAAGAGATAAAAGTTTAGTACAAAATTAAAATATCAAATATAAAATCAAAGGGGTAAAATGAAGGAAATTGAGATCAATAGTAGTTTTAACGTCCTCTTTGAAAAATGTGCTATATAAAATATTCATAAGTTAAAATATCAATAATAAATTACATTAAGAAAACAAAAATACAAAGAAATAAATCATTAATAACTCATAGAATTACAAATAGCTTACTTCCAAATGGATCAATGCTATGTTTTTCACGAATTTTGAGCGACTTTTCAATATCTCGCTTTTTTACACATTGTATCCCAAGGCTTGGAAAGCTGAAATAAATTATATTAAGGATTTGAAATATATAAAAAAATTTTATTATGTTATTCAATATTAAATTAAAATAGAATTAAATATTACATTATAATAAAATATTAATTTAAAATAAAATTAAATATTATATTATAATAAAATACTAAATTAAAATAAAATTAAATATGATATTATAATAAAATATTAAATTAAAATAAAATTAAATATTATATTATAATAAAATATTAAATTAAAATATTTGAATTCAAATATATAAATGTATTAAATTTTTTTTGTCTCAATCGTTTAGAAAAAACCCAGTGTCTGGGGGTATAACCGGGCACCCTGCCTCTGGGAATTATACCAGGGGACTGGTCCTCTAGGTTGGGGGTTGGGTATAGGGTTGACACCTCTATCCTGTAAAAATTTTGTTACGAAATTCTTAGAAGAAAAATCCAGGATGACTTCATGGAAACGATTTGGAAAACGAATGCCGTGGTTGAGATGGGCTGACTCAGTGGAGTAGGATTTTTTCGCAATTAATGAAAAGAATTGGAGATCAAAGATAAATCAGAAGTCATCATGGAGAAATCTTCAGAGGAAGGCATTGGTTCACATTGGGCTGTCTGGCCAACTATGATGATGATGATGGTTTAGAAAAAACTTAATTTTAATTACTTAAAGAAACACTATTAGTATAATAGCTATATAGTTTCACAAAAAATGACTCTTCTCATAGATTAAATAATTAACAAAAGTTGTGAAGTAATAAAACCTTGTCAAAACAGAGCTCCTTACTGCCAGAAAAAAAAAATTTAACCAGGGAAGCATCAGAAAAAATTCTATAGCACAGTTAATTTTGTTATGACAAAGTAATTTTTTTAACCACTTTCAGTCAACAGAAAAACTAATATATCTATTTTTGTTCCCATTAAAAGAAATCATACACTCAATTTATACTATAAACAGAAAGTACTAGGTACTCAACTGAATAGAAAATTCTGTTGACTAGATGAAATTTTTTTTCTTTAATAAAATAAATCAAACTGAAGGTAAATTAAAATAAACTAAATTTAAAGAAACATTCTGTCAATGACCAGTGTTGAACAAAAGATATTCTTTTCCTATTAGTTTAACTCTATTTGTGAGAAACATGAGTATTTTTCCTGACAACTGAATTGTAGAGATATTGGTAAAATGTTATTGTATTTGAAGTGATTAATAAAGAAAAATATTTTATACCTGCAAGTCATGTCAGGATTATTAACTAACTGAGTACAAACTCCTCTTTTACAGTTCTCTTTTCCAACTAAGTTATGAGGATGAGGTCGATATGGAGGTCCGTCTTTAGACACACAGGATACAACTACAGCATATTGGCCTTGGTAATTCATGACCTAAATATATAGTAACAAACAGAATTAGTTTTTGGGAGATGCTGTTTGGAAGATAGTTTTGGAAAATGTATTGAACTTTTAAAAACAGTTTGTTAGAAAAAAAATTGGGAAGAAACACTTTGCAAAGTTTTCAATTTCAATAAAATTATAATTTTTATACAGAACAAATATAAATGTTGACATTTTTTTTCTCTCTTTTTCATTTATTAAATTAAAGACATACTTGAAATTCTGTCCTGAAACTAAAAATATTGCAATTTATAAAATGAAATAGAAAACTTACAATCAATTCTTAAATTTTGGCTAAAGCTAGAAAACTGTTAGTTTACTCAATACTTAGCTAATCTGCAGATCAACTAGAGTGATTCATTAGCATAGGAAGTTAAGAGTTTTTCCTACTTTACCTAGGTGATGAGCACAATTACAGCTTTTTTTTCTTTAAAGTTCAAATACAATAAAGTTCAATATATAAAGTTCACTTTTCTCATTCCCTCCTCCTATCCTGCCACGTATTTTGGCTTTCACAACATCTTGACAGTGTCAGATGCTTTTATTTCTTGTAATTTGTAGCATAGCTAATTCAGTTTCCAAATTTGTTCTTGTCTGTTTGTATAAGAATTTGAATCATACATTTTTTAAAAGGAGACAAATTTAGATATGCAGATTAACTAGAGTCCATTAGCATAGGAAGTCAAAAGTTTTCTCTACTTTACCTAGGTGATGAGCACAATTACAGCTTTCTTATCAGTCCTTCCTTAAGTTCAAATTAAATAAAGTTCAATATACAAAGTTAACTTTTTTCTCACTCCCTCCCCCCATTCTTCCACTTTTTTTTGGTTTTCGCAACATCTTGACAGTGTCGGATGCTTTTATTTCTTGTAACTCGTAGCATAGCTGATTCCGTCTCCAAATTTGCTCTTGTCTGTTATTGTAAGAATTCGAATCATACATTTTTTAAAAGGAGACAAATTTATTTTACAAACAAGTATTGAATTGGGAAGTAAAATGAAGAAATAATCTTCTCAAAAAGCTCTTTACCTACGATTCAAAACATAATAGTGCTGACAAACAAAATTATGATTCCATTATCGAAGATGTAAAGCAAATAAATGATTCTAAGAAGAGAGAATTATTTTGAGATTATCAAATAACTCCAACAAATGAACCTTTGATTGTACAAAGCTGTCAAAAACTTGTTTAGCTTATAACATGTTGATTTAAGCGTATACAAACACTGTTGTTGTTCTAGCAAAGGAATTAATTTCATTTTAATGTGTGCTTAGTTGGTAATGTATAAATTATTTACGTTTTACATTTAAAATTTCTTTAAAATTATATATAACTAGTTTTTAATGATAATAAAATATTCCTTAAGCTACTTAAGGTAGAAAATTTACAACACAGCTTAAAAAGCTATTTTCAAACCTAATAAGAAATACCAGAAATTATTAACACTTCAACGTAATAGTAAGCTAAAATTAATATTTTGTTAATACATTAAGAAAATTCCAAGTGAATATTCTAAAATTCAAATAAGAAACAAAATAATCTTAATTATCTTGAGTTATAAATACAAAAAAGTTAATCATCTAAAAAATATATAGGGAAAAAAATAACCTGAATGGTAGGAAATGTTCTTTTTTCAGAAGTATTATTAATGCCAACAATACTGCCAGCAGATCGCCCTTCGATTTCACATTCATATCTAAATCTAAGGCTCCGTGGTGCTGGTTGTTCTAAAATGCGAACATAGGGTTGGTTTGAGTAGCCCACAGCATGAGTGGGTGAGATAGATTGATCCATTAACAATTGTGTCTTAATGATCTTATCTGAAATACATATGTATATATGAAATAAGTTCTGTACAAATACACAAGCATTATATAAATTATGGGGATATTTCTGTATCGTGATCTGTCATACAAACTATAATCGCCAAGGTGCCAAATGCTTAAACTTGTTAGGTTAAACTTGCAATTTTAGAAAAAAAAAAAAAGAACAAAAAACATGTAAAAATTGATTAAAAATGATTTGCCTGAGGGAGGCAAAAAGTTATAATTATCCCTCTTTAAAATTATCCAATCCTTCTGTGATGTCTTTTTAAAATATTGTTTGCAAACCAATGCCTAGAAGTTGCTAAGGCATGTCGATTATTCAGCCGCAAATCACAATACGGAAATCTTCCCAAAATTATCAAGAATTTAAAAAAAAAATTCAACAAAATACAATTTAATACGTAAAATATTGTAAATCTATAAGTGAAACACAAATTTAAAGAGGATTGGATTGGTTGTATAATAGAGTTTAATGGTAAAAAAGTTGGAAGCAATATATTGCCAAGTCAGGTCGATTATTCAGCCGCAGATCACAATACGGAAATCTTCCCAAAATTATCAGGAATTTGAAAAAAAAAAAAAAACATCAAGGAAATACAATTTAATACGTAAAATATTGTAAATCTATAAGTGAAACATAAATTTAAAGAGGATTGGATTGGTTTTATGATAGAGTTTAATGGCACAAAAATTGGAAGCAAGATATTGCCAAGGCAGGTCGATTATTCAGCCGCAGATCACAATACGGAAATCTGCCAAAAATTATCACGAATTTAAAAAAATGAAAATATCAATGAAATACAATTTAATACGAAAATATTGTAAATCTATAAGTGAAACATAAACTTAAAGAGGATTGGATTGGTTTTATAATAGAGTTTAATAACACAAATAATGGCACAAGTTTAATGGCACGAATTAAAAAAATCAACGAAATACAATTTAATACGTAAAATATTGTAAATCTATAAGTGAAACATAAATTTAAAGAGGATTGGATTGGTTTTGTAATAGAGTTTAATGGCACAAAAGTTGGAAGCAATAACTTTTTAACTAAAAAAATAGGCTACTTAAGAAAATAATATCGAATGGTGTTACAAACAAAGTTTGACACAAAAAAACATGAGTGCAAACCTTTATTTTAACTATCAAAGTTTAAATAAAATTAGAAACAATTTACATTTTGAACAAATGGATATAAAATCAAGACAAAAGAAGGGGAAATTAAAATGAAAGTTAATTGAGAAAATTAGCTAAATAGTGTATGTTAGTAAAGCAAGAAACTCACCAACATCATCTAAGGTTAGTGGGTCAATAAGAATTGAGTGCATCATTTTTTTTTTAAAACATAAAAGGGTTAATGAAAGAAGAGAGATTCAGGCAATATTTTCCATCTTCATCACTATAGTATTAAAAGATAAATTTATATTATTTATTTAATTTTAAAAACATAAATACATTTGAAACAGTGCAAATATTTAAAATAAAATAAAAACAACATGGAACTTCAGTGATCAGAAAAAAGGAATACAAGCACAATTAGGACAGTCTCGAAATTGCAGAATTTCTTAAAAGAAATCATAATTTTCTCAGTAAATCACATAGTTCGTGAAATTGTTTTTAAAGTTTCTATGGACAGAGCAAGTCTTTCTTCAATATTGGTAAACACTAACACGCATTTAGTGCTTTACAAGTACTTGAAGTATTTATATAAACATAATAACTAAATGGGCATAACTGAAATATGTTTATTAACAGCAGATTATTTTCCACACAGCTTAGTTTACATTACTTTTAGTCTCTAATTTTATTTACTTATTAGACTATTTTGAAATAGAATAATTTACTCTTTAATTATTTCTTTGGATAAAACCTTCATAATCAAAGGAATCAGACTTAAGAATCCCACTCTTAAAGAATAAATTTATAAAAATATTTTTGACTTAGCGACTTATTTAAGAAAAAAATCTATCGACTTAAACCAATTATTTTCTTTAAAAAAAATCAAAATAGATTTAAATCAATAAATTTAAAAAAAAAATCAAGTGATTAAAATCGCGATTTTAATCATGATTTAAATCATGCCAACCCTGGATGAAAGTAAACAGAAAATTTTGTGATTTAAATCAATTAAAAAAAAAAATCAAGTGATTAAAATTGCGATTTAAATCATGCCAACCCTGGATGAAAGTAAACAGAAAATTTTGTTTAAGTTCAGAATAATAATTACTTAGAATGCTTGCTAATGTAACAAAAAAACTTCCCTAAGTATTACATTGTATTATTAAGTATAAAATGAGAAATAAATCAATTGATTTAAACCAATAACTTTAAAAAAAAAAATAATAATCAAAATTGATTTAAATCAAGAAATTAAAAAAAAAAAAATCCAGTGATTAAAATCGCGATTTAAATCATGCCAACCCTGGATGAAAGTAAACAGAAAATTTTGTTTAAGTTCAGAATGATAATTATTAATAACAATTAACATTTAAATTATTTCAACACTTTTAAAATTATTTAGAATGTTTGCTAATTTAATAAAAAAAAATTTGCTTTAAGTATTAGATTAGTTTCTAAAGCGCACTTACAAAACAGAAGAAAAATAACAGAGCCAACGACATAAAAATATCCTATGCGGTAATAAAAGCATAACTAAATCTATAAAAAGATAATTCCTTTTTTGACCCATGTCCAGTAAAGAGGAAAAAAAAATCAGCTGCCCGTCAAGCAGTTTGGCGCCCAACAAATGAGTACTCCGCCTTTAATCAATGAAAAGGTAGCCGATGATTCAGTAAAATGACGGAATGACTGGCGCAAATGTGGCGCCCGTGTGTGAAAGAGAACCCTATCCCCTTTGAACGATCGGATTACTGAAAGAGTTATCTTTAGACAAAAATACCCAACCTACTTTTTTCACAACAAACATATAATAAGCATTAAAATCAATACATTCAAAATTTATGTTTTTCAACATTATACGTATGATCATTCAAGTCATCAAAAATAAACAAAAAAAAAAAAAACAAATTCTGAATTTGATAACACATTTTTAAAATTTATGTACTATTCACCAATTTGTAAGTTGCTACTTTTTGTAAGTTGCTTCACGATAAAAACTGAGATTAATCAAAGGAAACTTGAAAGTAGATATACAAAAGAATTTTTTTAAAGTTTATAATATGATAAAAAATATTCATCATTAACAATTTTTTCTTGTGCTATACTGAAGGGCTAATTAAGAATAAAATTATCAACGATTTAAAAATTTATTTTGAAATCTTTAAAAATTTGAGCCAAGGTTTTGAATTTTTGTACGAATTTGATACGCTACTTTTTGTAATTGTAGCTTTTATATTGATTCGAATATGCAAATATTTTACAACATATTCTACGTTTATGGTGTGTGTGTGTGGGGGGGGGGGGGTTAGAGGGGTTCAACGTATTTTTAAATGCAGGTAGATTGTGGGTATAGTTTTTGAATAAACAAACAATAAACCTTATCCTGCTTTCGGGTTTTAGCAAAATTTCCTAGCACAAATAATGCGTATTCTAATTTTGGAAAGACATTCAAGATTAAAATTGTTAGAACGTCGCGTCTTCGTACTTTTTTAATAGCTCAGATAGATTTTTTTTCTTAATCAGAAGAAAGGTTCTAATTTTGATTCGAAATATTTATTCTTATATCCGTTGCAGGAAAAGCATATTCATAAGGGCAACGTTGAGCAGAAAAATAAATCTTATTGAAGGTTAGTTTAGATAAGATTTGGTAAGAATTATAAATTCAAAAAAAAAAAAAATAAGGCACCTTCTTTTTTTAATTAAAAAAAAATCCAAAACAAAATTACAAAACAATAGCTTTAAAACAAATATAATAACATATTTTATTTATTTAAATCTTTGAAATGAAATTTTTGTATTATTGCTTTAATGATAGGCTTTTGTACCACAACAGCTGGAAATATAGTCATATTGCACCAAACTCAAGGTCACCAACAATAAGTGACCCTATAAACTATGTCTGAAAACAAAAGGAAGAAAAACAAGACAATAAAAAGATTAAGTAGCAAAGTTGCCATATACATGATGGGATTTAAACCTAATTTAAGAAGATTCTCTTTGTAGAATAATCATTGACATGAATTGCCAGGGCAAAAGAATTCTATATTGAAATATTTTACTTTTTGCAAAAATATTGAGATTTACTAAATATTGGGATTATTACTAATATTTTAAAATATTAACTTTGGCCATTAACTTTATTCTGCTTAACTTTGGCTTTTGTTTAGTATATATATTTTATAAAAGGCCATGCAGCATCTTGATAGTAAAAAAAATCGAGAACAATACAGCATTCAGAAAATTGGCGAATCAAGCTTGAGCTTTGTGAATGATTATTCAAGAAAATCCTACTTTAACCCTTTATAATATTGATTTCAAATGTAAGAAGTTAATAACTAACTGGAGTAAATTTAATTTAGTACTGATTACTTTGAATAATTATAGCTATTAAATAGTTAGATTTTACATTTGATGCAGATACATATGACTTCACTTTGAAATTAATAAATTAGTAATTAAAGATAATAATTTTCAAAAATAATTATTAATGTTAAAAACATAATAAACTCACTAATTACCTAAGTAATTTATATTATAAGCTGACGTGTAAATATTTTTACACATCAGTTTATTAAAATATCATGTTAAAGAAATAGTAAACAGTTTAGTTTTGCGAAATTCCTCTTGTCATGGATGTAACACAATGTGTCATGTTCAAAACAGACTTTTACTTTATTGTATTAATTTTTTATTTTGTAAAAATTAAAGTCAATTTGAATAAGGGCAAAACGACACCAAAAATATTTAAACCTGCCACATCTATGTAAAAAATTTATAACTTTCTAATACAACATAATATTTTGTTTAAATTATTTTTTAATTACTTATCTAAATAAATTTAGAGGTCATATTTAGTTTCTACCCATTTTTTCAGTGTTCTGGAAAAAAAAAAAGCTTTTTTTCTCCCAAAAAAAATAATTCTGGTTTCTGAAGTACATTTTTGTGCAATTAAAAAAAATTAAACTTATAGTTAATAGAAATATCACTGAGTTCTCCTTAGGAAAAAAAAGGTAGGGTGCTTCCTCTCAGAAAAGGACACTTAACAGTTTTAAGAGGGGTCTTGCTTAATACCATAAAAATTTATCAAAATGTGTTATGTTATGAAATAACTGAATTCCTCAACAATTTTCAAATTACCCTCTCAAAAATTTCTTTCTTCTCATTATCAAAGTAAGAGAAAAATTTGTAGTTTACAAAAGTAATTAAAGGCACACTGAAGTAATTAAAGGCACAATTTTAACTGAAAATTATATGAAAATAAACATTTAAAAAGTGATTAAAAAAAAAAGGCATTTGTTTGAAAAATAATTTTAAAATTTTAAGACGCTAAAAAAATCTAGTAATATCCCCCCCCCCCAAAAAAAAGAGATACTTATAAAAATTCATCTAGTTAAGAATAATCTGAACAAAGTAAATATTTGTAATAGTAATCAGAAATAAACCTGTAAACACAGATAATTCTACCAGTGTGTAATTATCATTTAAACAATGATTTTTTTTTCCAAAATTAAATATGAATAAATGTTTTTAAGGGATAACAGCTAATTTTCACAAAAAAGGAGCATAGAGGGTGCATTTATAGGGATCAAAGGGCAGACAGGGCGGGCCACCCTTTTAAGAATGCTTAGGAAGAACACTGATATCACAATGCCTTCAGTGGACATGATGAGTAAATTCTTCACCTATCATCGCTGAGACCAATATTTAATTTTTCACAATAATGGTTCAGTAGTCTGATTAGTATGCACTTTCCTGGATTATGTTTCATTGGTTTGGAACCAACTTTAATATAACGTCTCCTGCAGTTTCAGAATGGGGGAAAAAAATCTGTGCATGGTTGAGGAACAAGGTGAGAAAACCATGTTAACCAGAAAAAGGGAGCTAAGGACTAAACCATGGTTGGGTGGTGTGCTGAGAAGACCAAATGATTGCTGCAACCATTTTTTTTCTTCTTATCTAAATGGTAGAAGTGTAGTGTAGACATGTGCTAGTATTGTTTTCGGATAATCACGAAAACTTAATGACAGATAGCCACCAATAGCCTATTAGTATTACATAAACAGTCAAACTAACTCTTCCTTCAATTTTTCTTTTGCTTGGAATTTATAGAAGCAGTTAATATTTAAATTGTACTTTTCTGATAAATTTAAACTTATCCTCAAGGAACCTGGAGTGGAAAATTTTCTGATGTGCTCTAGCCCCGGATAGGCTCTGGTGATTTTATTATATATTGTAAGCGCACTTTAGAGTTTCAGACTTTAATTTTAAATTTTTATTATGAAAAGGGATATTAAAAAAAAAAAATAATAATATCACAATCATCAATTCACAGAAAATACAAAAATTTAATTAAATTTACAATTCAGTTATGGTCAATTCCATGGAAAAGAGACATATGTCAAATTTGTTACCAATTTTAAAATTTTAGTAAAATAAATTTTTTGTACTAAAANGACATATCTCATGTCTGTTATCAATTTTAAAATTTTAGTAAAAAAATTTTGTTTGTACTAAAACCGAAGAGAAAAGTTTTGATTTCATGAAGAAAAAAAATAAATAAAGAACATTATTGTACTAAAATAATTATATTTTTTATGAATATTTATGTCAAGTTAAGTTTCTATAATATCATGTCTGCCATAATTGCATGCCATGTCTGTCACACTAGCAAATATTTTTTTAAAAGGGCACTTCCTTTAAATTTTATGTCTTTGAATTAAGTCTTACAAAATAATATCCAAAACCTAAGTTATGCACCTTTCCGAACAATTGGACATATAGCTAACAGACATTCTGTATTCATGCCTGTTTTCTGTTATGTCTGTCACAGCATATTTTTATTTTATTAATTAAATTGTTTTCCATATAAAGCAAATGCTTTTCATTATTTTTAATGAAAAGGAACACAAGTTGCTACATAATAAAATTTGTGAACATATTTTAATATTTTATAGCTAAAAATAAGGTAAAAAGTTTGTCTGAAATATTTTGTTCAATTAAAATATTTTATTTAACCATATATGCTCAATCTTCCTTACATGCTTAAATCCTTATAAATGTACTTAAATGCTGAGAATAATCTTTAGACAGCAACTTGGCTATAGGGCAATAGTATTACAGTGCGGAAAGCCTCTTGAATGTCGGCAAGATACAATAAAATTGCTGGAGCATTTGAAACTTTAGAGTTACAGCTCCTTCTCATATATTATACCCACAATTGTCTTATTACCAATGGCTAGAAAATACTCTACAGTAGACCTACGATCATTTGACACCCTCTGATTCATAGGTATGCAGGTAATTCGGGAATTTTTTCAATTTGATTTTTTATGTGTATAAACAAACTGTCAAAAAATAACTCAAAATAAGTGACTATAATGAAACTAAAAGAAAAATTTGTGTTTAATTTTGTCATTAATAATGCCACAAGCTCATGTAAATATATCACCGATAATTCTTTTTCTATTTGCCATTTTCTAGCAGCCAGAATTTATATCCCTCATTAAAATCATGAATAGAAATCATCAGCAGTTATAATGATGAAGCATGAGTAAGAAACTATCGAATATCTGATAATTGAGATTGCACTGTACTCTTTGCTTAATTTTATCTTTGTGTTTCTTCGCAACAAAATTGATCAATTTAAAGTTTTGCATATCATTTTTTAAATTTTTGAACAACTAAATGTTATTCAATAAACTTTAATAGTAATATACCAAAAATTTAATGAAACTCGAGGTCTGTGATATATACTACATACCTGTGTTACACATATTTGGTAAGAATAAAAAGAAATTAATGAAAAAAGTGTTAAAAATAAACAAAACAGCTGTCAATTGTCCTGATTTTCTTAGAAATGCATTTTTTAAAAGAATATTTAAGCATTGTACATCAATATTATTCACCAGTATCAACAATATATGTAGGTATATCTAAAAGGAATTGTTATTGTAAATACAATAATCTAATTTCTTTTATAAAACATTTGGATTAAAATGCCTGACATTATTTTTTATATCCTAAATATGTAAAATAATTTATTACCTAAATATGCAAAATAATAAACATATTTCAAGTTAGCAAATTAACTTGTGAATTATAACTACAGCTATGATAAAAATTGAAAAATAACAATCTTTTTGAAACTATAATTAAATTAATTTTAATAGCATTATTTTAGACCATTAAAATGTAACTGTAGTTTTTGTTAATAAGGATTGTATTAGATTATATTAGATAACTGCAAACAAACAGCTACCCATTTGATAAAACCTAAATAGGCTTTCACAAATTTGTTATAATCTAGTATTAATAATCAAAACTTACATTTATTATATAAAATGATAATGAACGAATAAAAAAGTTACATTTTCTCATGCTCTTTTTTTTTTTTTTTTTTAACTTTTAATTTTCTTGCTTAGATCCTGAGCTTCCTAGTATATTTTTAATTTATATAATTAAAAGTAATATTTAAACTATCCATTCTACTTTGTTATGCTGATTTACTATAGTTTAACAAAGTAATGCTTACATTTACACTGTTTAACTATTATGACAATTAATACATAACTATTATTGGCTCATCATTTTACATAAATAGTGCTATGAAATTATCGTAATGTATGTGCTGTCTTTAGAAATGTCACAACAAAACCTCAAAAAATGCTAAAATTTTTAAAATTTAAAAAAATAAATAAAAAAACCTTAACTCAATGTTAAGAACAATAGAGTAGAATTTTAAAATATACAACATTGTCAAATCTTTAAAAATGTTAGTAATATTTAACAATTATATTAAACAAATTGAAATGTAGACCAGCACACAAAACAGTTTTAAATTTATTAACATTCAAGTAAAAGTTATATGAGCAAGAAATTTATTAACATAGAGAACTTACATAACAAGAATAATATATATTACATAATAGGAAACACAATAAAACTTACACACATTAATGCTCAACTTAAAATTTGTCTAAAATTTTTTTCTTAAGTTTTCTTTTTTCCTGAGAATTTGATTTAAAAAACACTTTTTGATAAAACAGTTGTCTAATCAAGTGGAAAGAAATTTTAAATATCTAGTAACAAATTCATTATCTATTTCATCCAAAAAGACCTGAATACAATACGAAGATAACTCTGAATATTTTATACAATATTACTAAATTAGAGCCAAGTATATATTATGTTATTATAAATATACACATCAACAACTTTATCACCACTAAAATTCCGTTAAATGTAAACATTAAACATTTAGAGCACTTGACAAGAACATAAAGAAAAACAAAGATCGTAAGAAAGAAAAGAAAAGTTCTCTGTGGATAATATCTGATTACAGGTACAAAGAATAAAGTTTTCTTCGTTTTTTTATGCGTCTGAAAGATTTTTTTTAACCCTTATTATTGGAACAGAAGTTTTGAGATTTATGATCAGAAATTATGAAGTCATAAACAAAACTGATAGAAGAGAATCGTATTACCAAAGACAGTACACAACAAACACAGTGATTCATTATAACTTTAGAATTTTAATTTATCATAAAAAGAATGTTAATTATGTGAGGCTTTAACAAATGCACAATTATTTAAAGAATCTAAATTGTTATAAAAACAGAAGCGAGACAAAATTATAAACATCATAGTGAAACAAAGTTTTAACAATTTAAACAAACAAAATTTACTACTCACAGATAAATAATCGTCGATCGGCTTTGAATTTGAAGCACTACATTTCTAGGGCACGAAAGTTTTCAATGAATTTAGTTGTTACTATCAAAAACGGAGAATCTAGATGACTCATAATTACAAATTTAGCATTGCTTCCATGAATTTTCGTGCAACTTTCTTTTCTAACTGTCAGCGATGTTTACCATTGGTCATTCAAAAGTGTTACGTCATAAAATGTGTTTTCCCCCAAACAAGAGCGTTTAAGATTTAAAATTTTGATTTAATTATTAATTTGAATTAGATCTGGCTGAATATTAAGTTTTACAGATTTTGTGACTTAATAAGAGTATAAAACTTGAGTGATAATGTGGTCAAAAAGTGATTACGTAAAACTCAATCAATACGAGCGGGAAAATTGAAGAAAATGCCTGTGGGTAGGGAAATTGTAATTTAGGTCGAAAGGGAAATCCTTATAAAAATGGTATTTCTTCTGTAAAGATACGAGTCAAGAGAATAAATTTTTGCTTGCGTAGGCAGAAGATGGATGTATAAATAATTATAATAATAAATTATAGCAATCTGAAGTTTCAACAATAATTAAAAGAAATTGAAATTTTGATCTCGAAATGAAAATTGGATTTTAAAATTAATTAAAATAAATAGAGAAGATAATTATTATGGTTTTTTGTTTTCAGTTTATGGTTTTTGTTTAATATAAATTTTATTTTTCAATTTCAGTGCGAGAGAAAAAAAAAATTTTGAAATGAATTCATAGACAATCTTTTAAAATATTTCTCCATGATTTTAAGTATTTGAAAGGTCAAAGGAAATTATTATCATGATTTTAGAAGAGAACTTCGAATTTGAGTTAGTATTTTATTATAACTCCTTAAAATCTATTATTGATATATTAATGTAAAAAATTAAAAACCAGTTCGAATTTTTTATTTATTTATTTTTTTGGTTTAGCTTGCAAACATAAATTTTTAACTTAAAAAAAAGAAGAAAAAATGATTAAAAATAATCAAATTAAAGGATAAATTTTGGAAAATTGCAAATTGCCGATATTTTTCTTAGATTTTCGACACAATAACCGTAGGAAAATGTTGACGTAGACGTAAAGTATGCAAAATAAAATTTAAAAAAAATGAAACACCTTAATAACTTTCGATTTAATGTAATTTGAATTGTTGGTAGAATAGTTTAAAGCATTGATATGCAAGATCTTATATATGCAAATTATTTAGCGCAGAAGATTTTTAAAATAGCAAAATCAGACAAAACAACGTACATTTTCTTTCTGGATTTAAGACCTTAAATATATGGTGGGTTAAATATTTTACAATCTGGAAAATGTGGTTTCAATAGGGCTAGGCAGGAAAATGGTTTAAAATTTTGGGCCCCATAATGTTAGTTTCTCTGTATGCGCATTTCTCCTAACCTCACGGAACTAATGAAATAAATCAAAACGTTTTTGAAAAAAAAAAAAAAAAAAACTGTTTATTAAGTGTGTGAAATAAAAGACATGCTGTATCACCACGTGGAAAATTATTTTAATGCAGTGTAGTGTGATCACGATTATCCGAGTTAATGTGAACCACTTGGATAACTGAAAAAACTCGGTTAAAGCGAAGAGTATAAAAAAGGAAAGAAAAAGAGTAGATATAAATGTAATATGTTTAACAAATATAAAATTTGTTCGAGAACACCGCATACAATTCATATTATTATTAAAAAGCTTACTTAAAAGCACTTAAAGAGAATACTTTATTAGAATTAAAGAGTTTACTTAAATAAGTCCTTAATCGTTTTTTGTTTTACATTACTTTTCTTTTACATTACAACAGCAATGTTTTGCCATTTGGGGGGGGGGGGGGTTAANGGGGGGGGGGGGGGTTAACAGGAAGGCTCGTGTAGCCTCTTCTTATTGTTCTATATATTCAATAGCACTCTCAATAGCTTATAGTCCGTCTGTATGAGAGATTTCTATATGTTGATTTTTCATTGTCACTGTTTTCATCATCTTCGCTAGATTCATTTTCATTATTGACGATATTAACGATCGTATCATCGGTAATCTCGTATTGTTCGTCAGCTTGCTTCCCGGAGTGTTTGGAAGATAAAATTCAGAATTTTTTTCGGCGGTAATTTTGAAAATAAAAAATAAACTTAAAAAAAAAAAATCTTGAAATATTTAATAGCTCGGTTTAAGCGAAAACTCGGATAATCGGGACTCCACGATAATTATCTAATACTTTTTATTATTTAATTTTCTATTGGTCGAAAAATGTTGAATTGTAAGGTACTCAAATTTTTATATCAATTTAATTTCATGTGAAAAAATCTGAAATTTGAAAGAAATTTGTTTAATAGCTTTTGAGAAATAAAAACTTAAAAATATGACAATTTTTGACTGCAATCTGGATAATATGGGATTAAAACGGAGAGCGGCCGAAAATTTTAGGCTCTCAATATTAATCTTTTTTTTTATGTAGCGTATTTCTCTGTATCTCTATTATTTATGATAGTTAAATAATTTTTAAACAAAATTATGAAACTTGTTTATCTAAAGATAATTCTACTTAAAAGATAAATTTTTAAAAGTAGTATTTTCATTATTCATTTTAATAATGGTCAAAAAGTTCCTGCATCATTTTTATAATGTAATTTTAAACAATAAAATCCAAACTATGAACAGAATCTGATAGATAGTTCTCGAGGTATGAACATTTTAAAAATGCTCCTTTTTTAAATATTATTTAGTGAGAAAAAAGTGAAATCAGCTTTAAGGAGTTCAAAAGTTCCAACTTATTTTTTGCCTACATTATTGGGATAACATTTTCCACAACCTTATATTTTCCAGGTTGAGGCTAGACCCTATATTTTGAAGGTCAGGAATATAAAAATCAGGAATGAAAAAAGATACATTTGTTTATTTAGAGAAAGTACGTTTTTGTGTCTAATTTCGTACTAATTGTCAAAACACATTAATTATCATATTTAAATTTATCCTATGGAACCATCTCAGCATGCGACAATCTGATTACTAGATCAAAAGTAACTTGATTAAAAAACTTCATTAGCTTCAAAAATATACAAATTAGAAATAACAGTCAACGTTCAGGCGCTCAAAAAAAGGAGTCTATTTTCAAGATTTGCCAGACGTTATGGGAAGAAATAAAAGTGATTTCAGATATAAAACGTAAAGTTGTCAATGAGAAACCGGAAAGTCAAGGTTAGAAACAAAACTAGAAAAACGGCAGTAGCCGAGAGAGAAAAAAAAATGTAAAACAGATCAAGAAAGAAGTGGGGCAATTCAGAGTAAAATGCATTTCTATGCCTTATGGGGAGCTGATAAGGAACTAAGGTCGTTAACAAGGGAATCACAATTTATATGAATGAAATAAGATTCCAGGGCTTCAAGATGAGCTGATGTGACTGGGGTGGAAATAGTTTTGGGATTGCTGAAATTAAATGTGTGCCCACGATTGCAACAATGTGCAGCAATTAATGATTTCTTGTCTTCATGACAATGGACATTTTCTTGCGAGTCTTAAAAATGGTCGCCCATCTTTGAGCGCTTGAAACACGTCTATTGTTATTTCCAACTTGTATATTTTTGAAGTGAATGAGGTTTTTAATCAAGTAATATCTTACATCTTCAGTCTCTTGGAATTATTTATTTAATGGATCAAAAGTTATTCATGCGTTACGTAATTTATAAATTTATTTTGTTTTGTTTTCTGCGCATTGTACATGAGACCAGTATCGAAGTGGAAAAGAGAATATTTCAGTGGAGGAACACAAAAATTCCAGCATTTTATTTACATCCTGTTCCTTTAAAAGAACATGAAGGAAAAAATTGTTTTTCGAGCTAAACTTGATGATACGTAACCACCTTTAAGAAAAAGTTTTTTATTATTTTTGTTATTTTTATTTTCTATTTATTTTAAATATATAATATTGTTTAACGCAAAATAAATAAATTTAAAAAAAAACAGTTAAAAAATAGCAGCAGCAAGAAATGTTTCTTTTACGACTTTTAACTACCTTCACAGGATACATTTTTTCAGTTGATAAACAGAGTTCGCACGCACCCCGGAAATTTAAAAAAAAAAGAAAAAAATTCTTGTGAAGGAGCCAGTAATTTCTTAGCATTAGCTTTCTCTTTAGATTAGAAAATTTAAATCCACAGTTGAAGAATCAAGATATTCCTACTAACAGTTATTTAAATGTTCTGGTAGTTACAATTTGAATAAAATACAATTTTTCATTCCAATATTCACACAATATGTTAAAAAAAAAAAAAAAATCAAACTTGAAGTCATGCAGTCCTACTATGACGTCACAGAAGGTAAGATTAGTGTAAATCAGTGTTTCTCAAACTTATGATCTTTGTGTACCCTTTTTAAATTTTTCGTAACGCTGTGTACCACTAATACAAAAATGAATGATTTTTTTAAAAATATCTTTATTTTCCTTTTTTTTTTCTAAGTTTATTTGCATCAGTGAGAAGGATGATATTGTTTTTGCTGTGATGATAACATCTGCTGTGATAAAAAAAATTGCACTAAAGTTAAAAATCACAGCTGGCTGTTGACACCACTAATTATTAACTGTTAACTCTTCAAAAAATAGCCAATAGAAAAATACGTAATCTTAGATTTTCGTAGCTAGCTTTGTTTTTAAATAAAAGTTTTTGAAAATTTTGTTGTTGCAAGATATTTCGCATGTACCCCCGCTAAACTGTTCCCGTACCCCTGGAGGTACGCTTACCACACTTTGGGAAACATTGGTGTAAATTAAGGCTCCCATACTATATAATTCAAGGACTCTAGTGTAAATCAATGCATTTGTATCATCCAGAGGAAGTTATAAATGCCTCTTATTGTATTGCTCATCTGCTGATAATAGAGAGAACCACTGTCAGGAATAAAGGGAACTAGTATCACTTTTTCAATTTTTCAGGCTCATACGGACCCTGATATGGTTCGTAATATTACTTTGTGACTCCTCATATGTATTAAATTATGTATCAATCAATATACACCGAAGAACCATTACATTATGACCACCCTCCATCTAACAATGAGCTCGCTCAGGTTTTCATCTTTTCTCGCCCAAAAACAATGTTACCATAGGGCACATTAGGACCCATAATCCTCATAGAACAATCCTTGATGTCTGTAAGTTACTTGAACATAGTTGCAGATCAGGTTCACCCGTTCATGACAACGGTTTTTCCTGCAGGGGATGGTGTTTACCAACAGGATAATGCACCATGTCATAAGGGTCGAATTGTCTAGGAACATTCCAGTGACTTTTAAGTAATGTCTTGGCCCCCAAATTCACCTGACCTTAATCCAATAGTGCATTAGTGGTCCTACTTGGAAAACCAAATTCGTTTTGCCATGCTACCCCCTCGCAATGTGAGGGAATTGCAGGACCAGTTGGTGAGCGCTTGGTACCAGATACCTCAGACTACCTTTCAGCACTTTGTGGAATCAATGCCACGGTGGGTGCTAGCAGTTTTGAGGGCTAAAGGTGGTCCTACATGTTATTAGCAGGGTGGTAATAATGTAATGGCTCTTCGGTGTAAATAATATGCATAATAAATAATATGTATAAATTATAAATTAAGTATATTCATTAGGCATGACCGATGAGGATGAGTAAAGTGCAAAGTTCTCTTGGCTTCCTTGATTTTACTTTCAAATGGGCATAAAAAAAATATTTTTGAAAATTTTGTAACGGAACATGCTCTAACTCTCCGCACTGAAAATAACCGAAAACGTATAGTCATGGTTTTTCATTCTAATAGGATTTATTAAGAGAGAATTGTCTCCGGATTACACCAAGGAACAAATTTTTTGCTGCATTTATACAAATACTTAATCTTGCCTAATTCGGGTGTTGGGATTTCAAGTCTAAAATTAGTTTTGCTCCTAAAGCAGCAGATTTTTTTTTGTAAATGACATTTCAAATCCATTTTTTGTTGAAATGTTCAAGTTTCAAATCGTTATATTTTTAAGGGATCTCGTAAATATTGTGATAAGCTTAAGTTAAAATTTAGTTTCGAGTTAGGATTCATCATCAAGAATAAAATTGCAAAGAAATCCATACTTAGATATATCGTTGTATGCGGCTAGAGGCGATTCCTTGTTACGACCTGTTTAGAAACACTCGAAGAAACAGTTTGAAATAGGGAAAACTCCCCTAGCGTCATATGACGAGACTTCCGGACATGGTTTACTATGTAATTTCAACCCAGATGATGTGCTGTAACTCCCTTTGAAGTTTGTTTGTTGCAACGTTTACGCGACCCCCTTTTACATGTAATGTTTTGAATTTTATATATTTTTACAAAAATAGACTTACAATTTCATTTAAAAAAATTATGATAATAACTGGAGCGAGAATCAGCGATACGAAATTGTGAAATCAGCGATACGAAAGTATCTAAGATTCGTTAAAAAGTTTTATGAAACGAAAAACAAACGAAACAAAAGAAGAAAAATTGACTCTTTGTGTTATTACTACACTGGTGTTTTCGGGGGTCTTACTGCAAGTTTTTTGAATCCCTGTCAAAAAGGAAGTAAAGAAAATAGACGCATGTAATGGTCCAAAAGACGAGGAAAAAGAAATGATAAAAACCTGACGAATTAATATTGAGGAAGTTGGAATTGAAAATATCAAAATCAGTTTGGCTGTCGAATAAAAATTGAAGGCTTTTCATAATATGGAATTACAATTATTTTATTTTTTAATTTTTTTTTCAAACCTCGCTTTTTTAATTAATGACTTATCAAGTTTCGATTATGCGTTTTCTCTTTTAAACATTCTAATGAGTATCTTACCTAATTTTTGATAAGGAATTTCATGTAGTTTCATGTAGTTTGATCCTCGGATTGGTAACGGAAAAAATCCTTCACGCAGGCTGAAGAAGGAAAGATAACCTTGTCTTAAGAATTTTTATTTACATATTATGTCGAAATCAAAAGTTGCCGTTTCTTTGTTTAATAAGATAACAATAACTCCAACACCAACGGCTTCTGTAATTTAATGTCAGTAGGACTCTTTAATCAAAGAACATTTTGGAACATAATTAAATTTATTAAAATTCTGTCACATTAAATATCATCTTTCAATTCATTTTGCTTGATGATAAATAGTGATTGAAAGTAAGTTTACGCTCAAGTTTTTTTAACTGAAATACTTTTTATTTATTTATTTTTTGAAATTTTATGTAGAGAGGTGCACATAGTTACTGGACACACTTTCAAAGTTTAGAAAAAATTTTAAAATTATTTGACATAATTTTTTGGTTTTAAACAACACATATTCGAAATTCACATTTAGTGGGCTCTGCAATAGTTCACCGTTTTTAGGACGCAAAATCCTTCTTATGCATGAGTCCAAGACACTGGAAAAAAGTTTAGTGTATTAGTTGCCTTCCTTTTTGGTGTAGAGGTAAACTAAGATTTTTTATACTACAAGTAGTCAAATTTTTTATTGTTACAGCATTATTTATTTATTTTTTCTGTGGTTTATTGACAACACATATTTTCAAGTGCGTTAGAATCAGTGTAGAGCTTCAATAGAGAAATATTTTTTTAAAAAAGAAGTAAATTTTTAGCAATACATTAGCAATAATTTTTTTTTAAATAATTGTTATTTTGCCAATTATTATATATTTTTTTTGCACGATAACTACAGTTTTGTACTTAAAAATTTATTTATTTTATTCCAAACACAAAATTGGTGGCAGTTGTACACCAAAATCTTTTATAATATTACATATTATAATAACATTATATACTATAATAGTAGATATGTATTATAATAACATTAAGCTGAGAGAAACAGTGTTTGAGAAATATTATAGCTTTAAAGGATTCCACCCTCCGCTCCGGATATTTAAATCAAAAAAATTATGCAGTTAGGTATTTCGGATAAATATACTAATGCACAAGGCCCCAAAAATGGCATTAAAAAAAAAAAAAAAAAAAAAAAAAAAAAAAAAAAAAAANAAAAAAAAAAAAAAAAAAAACGGACTACTAACGGAATGATTTTTGATTTAATGATCGGATCTTCACGTTTTAGGGACTCCATCTTAATCGTTCAAGGGGGTGACCTCAAATACGCTAATTAATTAGTGCAGACGATATTTTAAGTTACGAAAGTAGGCAAAATTCGATTTCTCAGGAATTATTCAACCGATTAACCAAATTTTGTATCTTGCCATGTCAACTTAGATACTTTAAAATAATGTAAAAAATTGTATGCATTATAATTAAAATTTTTTTCGAATATTAATAAATAAAATAACAGCAAATAATAAATCTTTACTGAAATTTATTTTCTGTATTTAATTATCGTTGGTTAAAATAATTTTATAATTGTGAGCAAAAAATTTTCAATTCGCCTAAAAAGTTCTCGAGTGCTGGCGAATTATGCAAAAAGTAAAATTAGCATTAAGGAGTCCAAAATTTCGATTGCTAGTACGTTTTTCAGTCTGATTTCTTAACTTAAAATATCGTCTGCACTAATTAATTAACATATTTGATGTCACCTCTTCAAACCTTTAAGATTGAGCCCAAGAATGTGATCTGTGGAAAAAAAAAGTACTTTTATTCAGAGAAAGTACGTTTTGTGTCCGATTTCGTAATCTAAAATATCGTGATTAGGTCAAAAGTTATTTATGGTTATCAGGTTTCTTCTGCCGCACCGTACATTTGTCTGTTTATAGATTTCTCAAGATTTATTTATTAAATTGTTTAAGCCGGGTAAACCGATTTCGAATATATATATTTATCTATCTATCTATCTATCTATCTATCTATCTATATATATATATATATATGTTCAAAATGAAGAATAAAACAAAGAAAAATAATAGACATATGAAGGGAAAAAAAAGGGGGGGGGGAAATAATAAGCAAAAAAATTACAAACAACAGTTAAAAAAAAAAAGGATTAAATTTTATTTAAAAAACCGGAAAAAAAGCTATAATCTTTTCTTCAGATACAATCTTTTTTTTTTAAACTGTTGTTTGTAATTTTTTTGCTTATTATTTCCCCCCCTTTTTTTTTCCTTCATATGTCTATTATTTTTCTTTGTTTTATTCTTCATTTTGAACATATCTAATGAGTTCTGTTTACTTGCAGCTTAAGCGCATTAAATGAAACTTATTGTTTTTCTTAATCACACCCGTC